CCTCACACTAGATACTATGTTCTAAATCGGTGCAAATCATCTGATTTACAGTAACTATCCGTGTGTGCTCTTTACCCACAGCAAGTGTAAAACAATTTGAATTAGGAACACCACAGTTATTTGGAAAGTAAATTTCCCAAGATTTGTTATATACTGCAGAACTGCTAAGACCCATTGCTTTTAATAAAGCTTTACTCCACAAGGCCCAATCTGTCTGCAACAAAGAAAGAACATCTCTGCTAGGTCTGAAAACCGTGGAAGAGATAGCAGACAGTTCAGGCACAAGACTCATGCTCACTGCCAAATTGGTCATATTACTTTGGCTGATAAAATTTTAATGCTTAATATTTAAAGATCATGGAACAAAGAAATGGTTTGTAAACTCCCAAGAGGGGCTACTGCTGTTAACGAATGACACAGCTTTTCAACCTGAGTATACCACCTTGCACTAAGCTTTAGTATACTCAATACTCGTTAGCAATGTAGGGTCAAAAGAAACTGCAGCCATACCCCAGTATCTACCAAGGATGCATTCCCAAAATGTGTAACATTTAGCAGTTTCACAGACTAATGCTACTTTTCCCATAAGAATTAGCATAATAGGCCGGGGATATATGCAGGAAATTCAGAAAAAGACTTTAAACACACAGAGATAGTACATATGAGGTAGAGCATCACAGAATGGTTGAGGCTGGGATGGACCTCTGGAGATCATCTGGTCCAACCCCCCTGCTCAAGCAAGGTCACTTAGAACAGGCTGCACAGGACCATGTCCAGATAGCTTTTTAATATCTCCGAGGTGGGAGACTCCACAACATCCCTGGGCAACCCACTTCAGTGCTTGGTAACCCTCACAGTGAAAAAGTGTTTCCTTATGTTCAGTTGTGTTTCAGTTTGTGTCCACTGCCTCTTGTCCTGTCACTGGGCATGACTGAAAAGAGCCTGGCTCCATCTTCTTTACACCCTCAGGTATTTGTATATGTTGATAAGTTCCCCTCGATCCTTCTCCAGGTTGAACAGTCCCAGCTCTCTCAGCCTTTCCTCACAGGAGAGTTGCTCCAGTCCCTTAATTGTCTTCATGGCCCTTTGCTAGGCTCCTTCCAGTATGTCCATGTCTCTCATACTGTGGAGCCCAGAACTGGACACAGTACTCTAGGTGTGGCCTCATCAGTGCTGAATAAAAGGGAAGGATCACTTCCCTCAATCTACCAGCAACAGGATGGAGAAGCAGGAATAAGGTCAGGGTCACCGATTCATCAGATAGAAGAGATCCAGATCCGAGTCATCCAACAAAGGAGATGCTGCTGTTTCATGACTGATCGTGTTACAGAAGATTTAATCACCATCAGATTTCATTGCCATCACCTTCCCTGGGTAATTTAATGGAAAAGGACAGAAAAGCAAGGCAATGATAAGAATTAACAGTGCACTGTATTAAATGATCATCAACAGAACTCTGAAATGGTGGATAAAGAAGCAACAGATACAGCAAGGTGTTGCTGTACTTGGGTAACTGAATCTAGCGCTCTCACTACGACCAGACTGCCATTTGACAGCAAACATTCGAGATCACACAGAATCTACCTGAAAGTAGCTCAGCGCTCGAACATGTGGCAACACAGATCAGCAGTGCTGAATCCTTGCAAAGAGGAAAGCGTTTCACACCATTTAAAACAGACTCCCTCCTCTCCAGAGCTCGCTGCCTTGCACTGTTTGGTGATGGTAACCCTGCCATACGCATAGCCTTCCCTGTGAAGTGGTAAGCACACTAGCCTGAGCAGGACTCCGATGCTAATTACTATTGCTCCCCCGCACTTGCCTTTTCACTGAGGAAAAATAAAAATAGTATGTTAACAAGATCGAAGAGAAAGGAAAGATGAAGGGGGAATTAAAAATAAAAATGTGAATTGCAGATGGATCACGAAGTCAAGAGGTAAAATATCATTAGGGGATAAAGAGCCTTCCTGAGGCAGAAAGTGTGGAAAGCTACCCTGGTAATATCACAAAGTAGCTTATGGGAAAGGAGTTAATAGGTTTAAATACTTTCTCACTGGGATGCGTGCAAGAGATGTTTGAAATCCGGGCTTCAGGCAGCCGGAGCCCATGAGAGCGCCGGGAGCGGGGCTGCCTCGCCAGCATCGCCGGGCCTGCAGCGCCCTCCCGCGGCCGCGCCGCCACCGCGCACCCCTGCTCCCGGCGCGCCGCTGCAGCCTCGCCCTCGCCGACCAGGTTCGCCTTTCCCCACTTCATTGCAAGACAGGGCGCAGTAGATCAACGCCGTTGATGATAACACGTCTTCGTTATAAAATAAAAAGCCCTTTTTGATATCTAATGTCACTTACAGGATCTTGTGCCAGCTGTATTTTTTACTCACTCACTCCCCTGACTTATTTCAATAGCAAAAAACGTTACCTTTGACAGACGATGATAAAACGGATTCAGGTTACACACAAATAACTAACCTCTGACTGTCACCTTTCAGGGATTTCCTGGTTAATCTCCTTTTTAAACCACAAAACTTCCTCTCATCTCAAATACCGACAGGCTGCCACATAGCACCAGAAAGCAACATTTGCTATACAGTCCCACTTGTGACCCACACGTCCGCTTATTCAAGACACGTACGTAACATGATGGACTTGTAAAACTGTCCCTTTGTTAGTAGAAGGCCATGCTGCAACACTGTTCAGAAACATGACAATCCCTGAAGGGTAACCTATTATTTTACTGCAGTATTTATATAGCACAGCGCTTCCAGTTGCCCTCCTTTCAGGAGGGGAGTAAATACGCAGCGCAAGCCAGAAAACGCAGCCGCTGTGATGCAATCTGGTGAAATAACGGATTGTGCTAGGTGGGGACAGGCTCCGGAGAGCTTTCCATCCCTTACGCGCTCATGACCAGAAGGCAAGCAGACACAGTCTCCAATTCATGGACCCCAGGTAACAAGAGTGCAGCAGTCATGACAACACGGTTGGTTTATTTATTGCAAAGCATTTGATTTAACCAGGCAACTGCTATCAGAAGAAACCAGAAATCAGTAGAGGAGTAACAATAAGAAGGTAGTGCTCAGTGGCATTTAATATTAAATGAACTTCAGAGATCTACTCCTTTCATGGAGTGTTTGTAATCACTCCTGCAACGACATGATCTTCACAGTAATTCTGGGTGGTCTATGTTGGTGGACAGCAGCTTCTAAGCGAGACTTCTGTTACTCAGCTCCAGTAACACACAGAGCCAGCTACAATTTCAGCATAATCCTGATGGCTGTCTTTCAGGAGCCGTTTTTCCACCTCTTCTCCCAAGCAGTCTCTAGTTTCAGTTGTGCTCTCAATATCTCTCCTGTTTTGCTACTCGGCGTCATTGTAAATTTAAGAAGTACATACTGAGCTCAGACTTTAAAAGAACTCACGGTAACTACTGTACCACTGCTTAACCAAATCAGCTCAACAGTTAGAGTTCTTTTTCCTCACCCTAGCAAAGTGGGCATATCCACAGCACGTACTTCTCCCAGACCACCCAACAAGTCACAGAAGTGGAACATTAATACAGACATTTTTCATCATCATTCAAACCAGCAGGGTTGCAGGCAGAAGCAAACACTGTCAACCGCAAAATCTTGGTTTGCAAAAACACTTAGCCACATTAAAAAAAACCCTTCTGATTACACAATTCAAAGCCATAGTCCAAAATCTAAGACTATTCCTGATAAACTGATGAGACAAGATGATCTCCTGTGTTTTACATTTCAGGATATGGTCTCTAGGCTCGTGTAATCATCAGCTCAGGCTAGTGACCAGAATTCTTACTTCAACAATACACCGTCATTACATGCTGACTGGGGGATCAAGATTATTTCCTCTGTGTGTATATACAGTAATCACAACATCTTCCACATTTATTTCCTTCTGGCTTTATAGGAGTTGCAAAAAGAAAGCTGCCTTTCACTTACCTCTATATACTGTAATTGCGAACACAGAGTATATGAAACAGCAGAACAAGAAATTAAACTTAATGAGAAAACTTTAACAGAATTCTCAACAAGAAGGGATGGAGCAGCCAATTCCTAAAACTATCTACTTGGTTCGTATTCCCTCTAAGAATGGCTGTCAGTTTAAATGCTGTATCAGCATCTTATTCTCTTAAAGGAAAAATATAAAACGCATTTATGTTTCCCAGAGAAATGTCATGGTATTTTAACAGTAAGTTGCTAATAAGAATCTCAGCACTCTCTGGGTTGTTTAAGCCATCCACAATGATTATGAGTGATTGTGTTTTAAAAGTCACTGAAACAGAGACAAAGCTCAAAACGTATCATCACTTGAGGCAACGTTAGCAGCTTCTATTTGGAAGAAAGCAACGCCTATTTTGTTGCATATATACGTCTGCAACATTTACACAGTGGGAAAAATCCGTTCCCTGTATAAATCCAGGGCATGTCATTGCAAACAAAGTTTTAATTAAAATTGGCATTTTTGAGCCTCCTACTGACTGACAGCATCTCACTGCCTCTTCCTCAGATGGCTAAACCAGCTTCCAAGAGAGATGGCAGAAAGAAACAAAATCACTAGAATACCTAACTTTGACAAGTCTCTGCTGGTGACATTTTCAATAGCAGGATGCTGCAGAGAGAGGTAAGGAAAGAATAGATGACTACTTAGGAAGTATTCCCCAATGAAGGCTCAGAAGAGCACAAACAAGACAGTAGAGGAGGCATTTTATTCAATCAAGCAGGACAATTTTAATCAGAAACCACATTGTTAAAGGGAATGCAGAACAAGGTCCACACCTCAGTGCGTGCAGCTTTCTTTGAATGCAAAAGGCTAGACCTCTGGCTGGGAGGTTAGCTCAGCTGTCAGCACTGACGAAGCTTTATCGCTCTCAGAAACTAGACAGAGGTAGGCTCTCCAGTCATGCAGATAAATAAATAAATAAGACTTCCTTGACCAGAACCTTTTCCCCAATTGAATGCAAAGAGTTTCTATTGACTGCTAGTACGGTACCTTCAGGAGGCTCTTCCCGCAGATGAGGAGGCAGTTCTTCACTTGTTGTCTCAGTTTCATCTTCCACCATCTGTGTTTCTAGGCTAGGTCCCTGCAGAACAGAACGGCAAGAGGAGGTAAATTGGAGAAAGTTCAGAAAGGAACCACAGAAATAATTACAGGATTAGATAATATGCCAGACAGTAAGGACACAAGGAGCTCACTTTAGCTGATGAAGAAGAAAGCTGCTGGGAGATTTGTTTGCAGTCAAATTACTTACAGGAAGGGAGAAAGAAAAAAGACGACAAAAAAAAAAAAAAAAGGACTCTTCAAGCTAGCAAGCAAAGTTACAAGGGTCTGAGTAGACTAAAAGCCAGGAACTGAACAATGAAGCACAATTTCTAAATTACTATTTCTAAAACACACAATGCAATAATAAATTCAAATCCCCATTTACCGAGGGTGGCAGCAGACTTGCCATCATTTGGAATTTTCAGGAAAACCACCCAATCTTTGATTTGTCATACCAAGACTAGATTCTGAAATGTCTGTGGCCTGTTCAATACAGGAGGAGGTCAATATGGGTTATACAAACGGTCCACACCTCATTTTTCAAAGGAAGATAAAGCAAACTTGTTTACAATCTTCTAACCCATCCAGGTCCACTGATCATGTAGTTTTCCCCTACATGCCCTTACACATGTATTTGTGCCTGCATGCTAAACTAACCACTCCTGAAAAACTACCAGATTGCCCTCCAAAGTTTTGCATTTCCACTTTCCAGCCTTCAGGATCTTGGAAAGCACCTGCAACGTTGCTGATGGAAGGATGTTAGCAGAGTTACCAGATTTGTAGACTTAGAGAGCATTCACTTGTATTTAAGGCAGCTGAACTCACTCTGTGCACACAATATTTTCATGACTTGTGGAGCTATAAAAGTGTAGTTGCTTTTTTGGTTTCAAACTATTAAAAAAAAACAAAACAAAACAAAAAAAACCAAAACAACCCTTTTTTATCAAAAAAAAGTAACAGCAGAGTAAACACTAGACATAGCTACAGAGCTCCTTAAAAAAAGTAACCAATTTTCTTCTTTTGGAATGCTAGTACCATCAAGAGTGAAACCAGAAACTTAGCAGTCATTAGGAAACGAGGCTTCTGTACATTTTGAAAACATGAATGGGTTTGTAATCTGAACTATGTAATACACTGAAAATGTGTATTAACATATGCAGCTGGAAGGTTACAGAAGCCAGCTTAAACACTGGTACATCAACAGCTTGCAAGATTTTATTATTTGAACTCAGGAAGAAAAAGGGCTCATGACATTAAAGCTGCAGTATTTATTGTCATGCTTTCCAAACCCTGCAACTGCAAGGTTACCCCCAACAGCACTGCACACTTTCTGTTTCCTCATTTTGTACATTATAAATGTACAAAATTAATGCCTTCTTTGCCTCAGTCTTTAATAGTAAAGCTAGTCATCCTTGGGTTTTTCAGGCCCCTGAGCTGGGAGATGGAGATAGGATGCAGAGTGAAGTCCCAGTTGTCGAAGAGGTAGCAGTCACT